GGGGGGGGGGGGGGGGGGGGGGGGGGGGTGAGGCACTCCCTTATTTGGCCTGTAAGGGTATGTGCCGCTGAACAGGGTATGGTTTTCAAGGTCTCGAGTTTTAAACAGGGTATACAATAATTTTACTATTGAGCATCTTAAACAGGGTGTCTTATTAGACCCGAAGCCTCAAACAGGGTGTGAATTTTAGCGGTGTCCGGTCTGCGTGACGCTGTAAAGACAGTTTTTTTTTCTCAAAATCACCTTAGCGTCGACCGTTCGCGCTTTTTTCAAATTCTGACCTGCAACCTGCGAATTACGCCCTCCGATTTTTTTACACGAATAGGACGCGGATGAATGAGCGGATTCACTGGTTAAGTGTTCACAAAAGGGCCCCCAAAAATATACGGTTTCATAAAGATCCGAATTCGAGTGGACAGGGCCTTGCCTCTGTTAAGTTGACTTGTCTAATTAGCTGATCTTTCCCTTAACTTATTTGTAAAACGAATAAGGCCCGGTCCAAACGCCGGACATTTCATTAGCCGAACCTAATACACAGAATTAAGTACATGAAAAGTTCGGCGTCTCTATTTTCAATTTGGAACAGCTCAGCCGTTCTTTTCTCTTAGCACATACGGAAATTTCGAAACTTTGGAACGGCTTTGATTCAGACGCCGAACTTTTCTTGTAACGAACCTAATGCATAAACTACACCGTATTATAACGTACCGTATTTCCTCGAATAATAGCCGGGGGGATTATTTCTTTTTTTACACCAAATGGGGAAGATTATTCGAGGGAAGCGATTGTTTCAAATATTACGCACTGCAAGTTGTGCCCTAAATATTTTGTGTTATTATCCCATTAAATAAACAAATTATCACATCAAATAAACAGAACATGGGCTTTTAAAATGTTCCAAATTTGGTTCCTTGATTAATTTTCAGAGCTTGAATCATCACTGATCAGTTTTGGTGGATCAGATTCCACTTCAACTTGGCGTGGGGAGGATAAAAGAAAGAGAAGATGGTCAGAGGCGTGGGGGGGATTATTCGAGGGAGACGATTAATCGAGGGGCGGCTATTATTCGAAGAAATACGGTATTTTGTAAACAGTTTGCCCGAAATTAGCATTTTTCGCCTTTTAAACTTCGTTTAGCTGCAATTGAGATCGGCGCCTGAATCAGTTCAGCTGCTTTAAGTAATTTGGGTCGGCCTTAATTCGAGTTAGGTTCGGCTCATGAAAAGTTTGGCGTCTGAACCGGTCCTAAGGTCCTCTCCAGGCACCCTTATAGATTCTGAACAACAGATTTACTTAACAAAACAACAACAACAACAATGTAGCTTTTACAGTCAGATGTAACGTCAATGAACGTGTCAAAAATATTATTTATGACTGATTTTTTTAATACTAATTTGGAAAGGGAGGCCAGCACACGCAATGTAAAAGAGCCTGTTCACAGACCCTCTATTTCCTCTTAAAGTAATTCCCTTGAAAATGATGTACTATCCAGATTTTTTTAGCCTGCGAACGGCAGACGTTTCTTCTCGCGAAAAGTCCCCTAGCGGCGATGAGCGATGAGAAACGTCTGCCGTTCGCAGGTTAAGATTTTTTCAAACTTGACACAAATGTCGGTCATATATAGGGCATTCAAAAACTGCAATAAAAAGATGGGGTGACCGTGCTTGTTTTCGGCCTGTGTACCTGTTATCCTTTTTTTTTTCCTACTTGCGCGGAAATATTGCAAAAACTATGAATCTCACTAAAGACTTAAGCCAGTTTGTTTGTCTGGGCTATATTTCTCCAGAAGTGAAGTGACCTAAAATAANAGATGGGGTGACCGTGCTTGTTTTCGGCCTGTGTACCTGTTATCCTTTTTTTTTTCCTACTTGCGCGGAAATATTGCAAAAACTATGAATCTCACTAAAGACTTAAGCCAGTTTGTTTGTCTGGGCTATATTTCTCCAGAAGTGAAGTGACCTAAAATAACCCGATCTTGAAAAAAAGGAAGAGAAATGGACAATTTTAACAACCAGGGAATTACCTCAAGAGATCGTCCAGCACGTGTATGGAAATAAAAACCCCAGGGGAGTTATTGCCCGCAAGCGCAAGGGGGTAGGCAGACTTTTCGGTAGCATTTGGAAGTTTTGAATGCAGAGGTTCAGCTGGCGGACTTGCACCGTTCGTACCGCAGGCGCGAAGGTTGAGTGCCGGAGGTACGATCTTTAAGGGGGATCCGAAGACATGTTCGGCCCCAGGAAATTTTTAAAATTGGACTCTCTAAATGCAATTTCCTTCTTTCCCTGGACCGGAAGTGGTTAATCGGTAAAAGAGAAGAAAAGAAAGAGTTTTACAGTTAAAAAAATTATTTCGTGTGATAATTACCGGACGTCACATGTCAAACAATCGGACGTTGAGTCCGGTGTCCGACCTGAAACGAAACCCATGGGTACGGGTCAGAAGAAGAGAAAATTCTGTTCACTTCCTTTTTGTTCTCGCGCTTCAGCTTCGCGCTCTTTCCCACGCGCTGTCGAATGGTCGAAAAAACAGCAAAGAAAAACTTTCGCCGAAACAAACAGACAAACGTTTGTAAACAGGCTGAATGTGAAAAAATTGCAGTATAAAACTTTTGAAATCTGTATCTCAAAAATTGTTCAACCAATCGGTCCTCGCAACCGAAGGTTATTTAGAAAACCGCTGATGTGAAACTTTGTAATCGTAAGCTTAATGCATCCAAAATCCGCACCGGGATTGCTCCAGTGTTAACATGAGATCAGGTTTTGTTTTTATTTCTTAAGAGAGAGTATCCACGCTTAGATGTAAATGACAGTAATAGATAAACTACCATTATCATTGCTACCACAAAAATTGTACAATTAACTACTGCTCAATGCGTTAGAGAGGAATTAAGTTTAAAGCGATTTATTTTCTTTATAAACAGATGCTGTAACTGCTTTTTTGGAGTGGAGTCAAAATCAGCTGTGCTCATTTTACAACACTACCGCGAGCCAGTTAATGATTACCCCGTGGGACCGGGATAACACCATGGACATTGATGAGGTGTATGTGCAGTTAACACCGCTAAGAGATGACATAAAACTTGCTGGAACAACAAAAAAAAAGCTTGAAGATTACAGTGAGATATTCGTAAGCCATGGTCATCATCAAACTCCTAAGAGAATTTTAGTGTATGGGAGGCCAGGAATAGGAAAGTCGACATTGACAAAGAAACTCGCCGTTGACTGGTCACGAGGTAATAAAGAAATCCTGAAGAAGTTCGCTGTTGTACTTTTTATCAAGCTCCGAGATGTTTGCAGCACGCAAGATTTCTCTGCTCTGCTAAAAAAGGCCGAACTCTTGTCTGCTGATGACTGTGCGGTTTTTGGTCAGTTGTATGATTACATTCATCGTAACCAACAGAAAACCCTAATTATTTTAGACGGCTATGATGAATACAGCGCCGAAAAATCATCGCCGGTTCATCTGATTTGGAAAGGCAGTCAATTGAGAGATTGCACCCTTCTTGTGACAACACGACCGCTGAAAAAAGATGAGTTAAGACCAGGGAGTCATGCTCAGTTTGAAATTCATGGGTTTTGTCTTTGGCAAATTGAAAAGTTTGCTCTCAAGTTTCTTCGTGATCAAACAGAAGTAAACGAGTTTACAAAATTTCTGTTTGAACACGGCCTGTTGCACTTGGCGGAAATACCACTCCTACTGTTAATGTTGGTTCTAAGCTGGAAGAAATATCAAGGACCATTAACATCCCGCTCAGACCTGTATTACAAATTTTGCCGGACGCTGCTTGATCACGTGACCGCCAAAACATCAGATGAGACACTTAGGAGCTTGGATGAATACAGAGAAGACCTCGTTAAGTTAGGGGAACTTGCCTGGCAGGCACTTTTAAATGACTGTCTTTATTTCGAGCTCAGCAACTTGTCTGAGGACATTAGGTTATTCCTTGAGAAGTTTATCGATTTTGGCTTTCTACAGACTTCTAATCTTTCAGACTCTCCCCATCCTGAGAAACTGGCGTTCTTTCTTCATAAAACGGTGCAAGAATTCCTTTCCGCTTCGTTTTTAGTTCGTGAATTAAAAATTGCCAAGGAATCCTTCAACTGTCTGTCTATGGTCGACTCATTTAAACGTTTCACGGAGCTGTTTGAAGTTTTCGAATTTGTGTCTGGGTTGTCATCAGAAGCCGCCGTTGCTGTTTTTCGTCATTTGAAGATGATAGGAGAAAAGGAAGGTCTGGCAGGTTACAACTTCTGTGAAAACCCTTCCGTTAAAGAACTCACAGAAAAACAAAGAAAGTTTTATCATATCAGTCTCCAGTTGTTCCTTTCCCTCCCCACATCAGAAAGGCAAGCTGTCTATTCTTCTTTTCTGCAAAGTGTTAACGGTGTTATAATGATAAATGTTGATAATGACCTGCCCGCAGTTGCTAGAGAACATTGTTTGAGATCAACAAGTTCCCTTAAGCCAGATTATGTATTTTTTACAGCTGAGGAACCATCGGGATTTAATTTTGAAGATGAGGCTGATCAAACGTTCTCTGTCATGTCTGATTTGGAGGCTGTTTTTGTGACATGGTATGGTGAAGTACAATCCGTGAATACTTACCACGATGGAGTCCCTTACCCGTCTTTCATTAAGAAAGTTGGACATCGATTAGTGTACTGTGTATCTCGCCTTAATCTCCAAGGACCAACCAGTCTGAAATTCATTGAACTGCAAAGATCATCAACATCAGCATCAAAGGCTTCTCTTCAAGAGCCTGATCACGTGTCACAGAATCATGATGTTTGCAGCTTTTTGGATTTAACTGAGAAAACATCTGACCAGACTGTGACACACTCTCTGTCATATTTGAGACAGATAACATTTCGGGGCCCAACAAGTGAACTTGTCAGTTTACTCAATGATCTTCACCATGTGCCTCGACTATCTGAGCTCAATTTATGTAATGTTGGTATGGGGAATCAAGAGTGCCAGTTACTTGCCACTGCTTTAAAGTATGTTCATAAGTTACGCCTACTGAGGTTATCAAGTAACCCACTCGGTCACGGGATAAGTGAGCTTGCCAAACACCTTCACAGTGTACCTTATCTGGAAGAGCTGTGCCTGAATGATACACAAATGGGTGAAGAGGAAGTCACAGCTTTAGCCCATGGTTTAAAGAATGTGACTCAGCTGAATGAACTTAACTTATCAAACAACCCACTCGGTCACGGGATAAGTGAGCTTGCCAAACACCTGCACAGTGTACCTCAACTGAAAAACGTGCCCTTGAATGATACACAGATGGGTAAAGAGGAAGTCACAGCTTTAGCCCATAGTTTAAAGAATGTGACTCAGCTGAATAAACTTGTCTTACCAAAAAACCCACTCGGTCACGGGATAAGTGAGCTTGCCAGACACCTGCACAATGTACCTGATCTGAAAGAGCTGAACCTGAATGATACACAGATGGGTGAAGAGGAAGTCACAGCTTTAGCCCATAGTTTAAAGAATGTGACTCAGCTGAGTAAACTTGTCTTACCACGAAACCCACTCGGTCACGGGATAAGTGAGCTTGCCAAACACCTGCACAATGTACCTGATCTGCAAGAGCTGAACCTGAATGATACACAGATGGGTGAAGAGGGAGTCACAGCTTTAGCCCATAGTTTAAAGAATGTGACTCAGCTGAATAACCTTCACTTATCAAACAACCCACTCGGTCACGGAATAAGTGAGCTTGCCAAACAGCTGCACAATGTACCTCATCTGGAAGTGCTGGACCTGGATGAAACACAGATGGGAAAAGAGGAAGTCACAGCTGTTGGCCATGTACTCGTCTACGTACCAAAATTGAATTCCCTTTTGCTTGGCAATAATCCNACTTGTCTTACCACGAAACCCACTCGGTCACGGGATAAGTGAGCTTGCCAAACACCTGCACAATGTACCTGATCTGCAAGAGCTGAACCTGAATGATACACAGATGGGTGAAGAGGGAGTCACAGCTTTAGCCCATAGTTTAAAGAATGTGACTCAGCTGAATAACCTTCACTTATCAAACAACCCACTCGGTCACGGAATAAGTGAGCTTGCCAAACAGCTGCACAATGTACCTCATCTGGAAGTGCTGGACCTGGATGAAACACAGATGGGAAAAGAGGAAGTCACAGCTGTTGGCCATGTACTCGTCTACGTACCAAAATTGAATTCCCTTTTGCTTGGCAATAATCCACTGGGCCGTGGAGTGACTGAACTAATCAAGTGTCTCAGTAGCTGTCCTCAGCTTGATCATCTCAAACTTGGAAGAGTTCAACTGACAAAGAAAGAAGCCACTGAGCTGTGTACTTTAGCAAATAAAAGAGGCATCATCTTGCTCGCAGATTATGTTGTAAGTTTCTCTTTTGTTATTTGCATTATTAATGCTCGTAATACCCAGGAACGTCCTGGTAGACGGTGGTTCAACTGACAAAGAAAGAAGCCACTGAGCTGTGTACTATAGCAAATGAATTTAAGCTGATGTTGTTGACGACAGATTATCATGTAAGTTTCTCTTTTGTGATTTGCATTTATTTTATTTTCCGATTATTAATGCTCGTAGTACCCAGGAACTCAGTCCTGGTAGACGGAAAGGAACCGTTTGTCAAAGGAGCTGTGTCGCCATTCTTATCCAATACTAAAAAAGACACATTTTTGTAAAAGAAAACTTGTCGAATAGTGGTCCAGTCGTGACAACAATTGCTAATCTTTAGATGTCCTGCAGGGTGGAAATAGATTGTACTAATCATACTCCGTTAATAATATTCAGTTACTACCTTAGTGAGCTAAAATGGATTTCGATATCAAACTCAACTTCTGTTTAACGACAACTATATAAGTGCAGCTGTAACTGCACTAGAATTGTTAAGTGTATTTGTCTTTAGATGGCCAGGAGGGAAGTGGAATGCACTTTGAAAAGTTTTGACTTCATTTTTGAGCTATTTTGAAAAAATAGCTCATATGTCAGTGGTGTGAGCGTATGTATCTTTGTGGCTTTGTAACTTTGTATGTTCGGATGTTTGTTGCAAGAGCCAATAAGGTTAAAGGTACTATTAGTTGATGCTTAGGAACCAATGAGATCTTGGCATCTATTTAAACATGGCATTGGTAAAGGTCGAACAAGGGCACTTTGAGACCGCCATCTTGATCCTTCACAATTTTTTTCGTCTTTTATTACGGGTACAGGTGTTTGGAAGCATTACATAAAATATCTTCATGATTCAAACGCTGTGAACAGTGATGCAGCTGTTTAAGGGTTCATATTTAAGTGTGGATGCTGCTTCGAGGCATTTCTGAGCTAATTCGGCTATCGGTACAACGCACGTCAGTATGAGTTCTGTTTCACCTGCTACAACTAGGTAGAGTATAAAAGATCATATATTTTCTAATCTTTTCCAGTGAAGCAATAATTGACATTTAGATATAGACTTTAATTCGAAAGTATGCGCCCTATAGAATCGCACGTGCAAACCTCGTGAATTATGATGATGCAACCATCTACCACAATGATAAAAATCCTGGTATTTCGTAACTATTCAGTATTCGAAGAGTCACATTTTGGCTTAAGAAACTCCGAGGAAACCTTAGAGTTTTCCTTCTAATCAACGTTTGGTGAGTAGAAATTTATTTCACTTTAACGATTTGTTTAACTTGCATGATGTAACAGAGAAAGACAGAGGAAAGTGAATATATAGCTTGAGGATCGACTCAGCTGAGTGTTTCGCGTTTTCATTTATGTACCGCAATACGCAATTTCGCATGAAAACCCAATCTACATTTAGGATGAAAGAGGTAGATTCATCACTCTTGGTAAGGTTACACCGAAGCATTAAAGTTACACTGAAGCATTCAAAATATCTCATGCACGTTTAACGTGCCTATGTTTCGATTTCCTTCCCGTTTCGTTAAAATGCGAACTTAAAAACTGCGGTTTCTTCTTGGCTATAGGACACTATTAACATCTTACTCTTGCAACGTTACGGTTAAGCATTTTCCTTAACGTTAAATCTCGGGATGAAGCGTAGCGATGCTTTGAATAAAAATGTCGGTTAACTGAAATATATATTTGGAATATTAACGTCGGGATTTGGTCACAATAAGATCACAAGCAACGAACCTTGAAACACAGAAACTCACAGAACGGATCGAAATCCACCAATGAGAAATCACAAACAATGACCTTTTGAACCCGTTGACGTAAACTTTCGTTTCCTAAGAGGTCCGCTAAGATGATTGGCGTCCGACATTTTTTTGACGAGAGGATCGAAATGCACCAGTCATAGAAAGACAGTTTTAATTGCATGTTTCCTAAGAGGTCATCTGAATTTGCTGTTTTCTTTATATGTCCATTTTCTTTTCCTTATTTTGTGATTGGTCGATTTTGTTAGGTCGAGTGAATAATCCAATGAGGGACGATTTGGATATCGTTTGATCCGCAATTTTTCGAAGCAGCAGTAAGAAGCATTTTGGATAACATTTGGCCGCAGCGTTTCGAGGAACGTGTTAATATACTGTTCAATTATGTTACCCCGGGTTAAACTAACAAATGCACACACTATTCGCGGTAGGCCCACACTAAAAAATAACACTGAGTCGAATGGAATGGGCTGGTCCGCGAACTCAAAGAAAAACAAAGGAAATTATCAAGACATTCAATGTCATCAAAGACTTATGGACCCAGTAGACGCAATGACAAATCGGAATATCAGGAGTGTACGTGTAAAATGGATAAGAGTTTGAACAGAGGAATGTTTAACAAGTTTGAGAGTTGCAAGATTTGTGTAGCCAGTTATCTGTGTGACAATAGTGATTTTGATTTTTGCATTGGGGAACACAACGAGTTGCCTGTGATAAAAATCTGTTTCGATGAAGGAAGAGACGATTGTCAACAATTGAAACCAAAAGGTGATAACTGCAACAATTCTTTTTATTATTTCAATTTTGTTTAGCAGGGTGACGGTTAATGTACTTGTTTTTGTATTACGTGTTATGTTCTTTCATCTAATTGTGTATATTGTGACGCGGTACATGTACGATGCTGTTCGTCGGGATTTTGCATTATCAGCAAGTTTTGCGTTAGAGTGTTTTGATGGCAGCGAGGTGACGACAAGAGAAGGTTGGTGATGAGCTAGTTGTACGTGTGAAAATTGTGTTGTGGAGGAAATAAAAGAAGTTGAATTGAGATCTCGTCGTGGGAAATTTATTTATAACAGAACTTACAATTCCATTGGTTTAAATCAGGTTAGTCATTTCTCTCAACGCAGACTACCGACGAACAAATTAAAATCTTTGTTACAGAAAAAACGGAAGTGACACTTTTTATATGGAAGAGTACTCGGAAAAATACACCATTGTCGTGTGAAATTCATTGTTACGTTAAAAATAGAAAAGGTTTACACTTAAACAGGTACAGAAGTAACCGTAACATGGTGAGTTTTTTACTTAAAGGGCAACTGCAAAACTAGTTTGTAAACGAGGGAAGGTGAATCTGTCATCTAAGCATCAAAGCACAAGCGATTTAAGTGGAATGAGATATCCAAATAGGCTTTTAAGTAAGAATTTGCCCCTCTGTTATGCAATTATCCATTTTATAGTGCTTACAACAGTTTGAATTACCGGGTTAATTTTGGCCAATTTAAGCTTTGTGCTGATATCCTGACCTGCTACAAAAACAATTCATGCTCCATACTGTCAAGGAAACGTTACAGTATTTGGCGAAAATGCTAGACAACAATGTGTCGCAATGAGTCTGTGCGCTTTAATTTACAGTAAGATAACAAAGATTACTTCAGTTGATGATATGACTCAAATAATGATTGTTGGTATTCAATTATATTCTAGTCTGTCACTGCTTGCAAGACAATCTATGTTAATGTTAACAGAATTGCCAGGAATGGTTACAGTGTTTGAGCAATTTTTCCACCTTGAATACAGTGACAGTTATACTTGTAACATCCATGGTGATCCCAGAATTGAAGGGTATCGCTACTGTATATGCCACTCACAGGGTACAGCATCTGAAACACTCTTGGCACTGAACTACAACTCATTCATTTTGACAGTGGCAATTATTGGTATTGGTATCTGCAGCATTGAGGCTGGGGGATATAATGTATTTGATTCTCATGCTAGAGATATATATCATAACAGTCATAGTGAAGGGACATGTGTATTGTTGGAAATACCATCCATGCATAAATTAGTACTATATTTTCAGACTCTACATAGGAATGAGGATATATATGAACTTAAAGGTGTACATATTGCCTCCTTTGAACCTCATCTTTTCTCAAGCAATGTTGAACATTGTAGTATATCAAATGTTAATAGTTACCAATGTTCCTGTAAACAGTGCTGCCCTACAGCAGTTTATGCAATGTGTTACTCTCTTATTAATCCTTGTAAATACTGGACTTAAGGAACTTTATTTGCCCTGGTTAGTAACCGGAATACACTGCACAATGTGATGGGTGTGAAACCACATCTGTCAGTCAATCTTCCTCAAAGTGTCAGTGTCAGTGGAGCTGAGATAAACCTTACTCTTCAGGCTGTAACCACTCATGTCCTATGTTGCAATTTGGTTCCAAGCATGTCTGCATTGAAGATGTGCATATTTTCAAACATTGTCCAGCTGTATAAGCTGTGTGGTTCAGCAAACAAGTGGAGTAAAGGATTTATCTTCTCTGGTAAGATATGATGACAGTTGTTTTGCTGCAACAAGGCATGTTTAAAGTATCATACCTCTAGTACGACCACGCCCAAATATACGCTCCCACAGCGTCTTGTTTTACTAGTAAAGCGAGGAACACGTTTGCTTAAGTTTCAACCATTGTAATGTGCTGTACCGTGTGTTTCAAGCCAATAATTGGCATGTTCCATGGAAAATCAGTAGAGCACTTTACTGTAGAGTTGGAGGTCGCGGGTTTGATTACCGTGACCGCACTAATACGTAAAACAACTACGTAGTGAAGGTACTGCCTTTGCCCTGCGTTGCTCCACTGACGTTGAAGTGGCAGTCCCGTCTCCAGTAGGAGACATAAAAACTGTGTCCGCAGTTAGTACAGTGGAACCTCGACATAACGAAGGGCCAAGGGACTGGCAAAATGCTTTCGCTTTAACAAGGTTTCGTTAAATCGAGGTGTTTTTTTATCCATTTTGCTATCACTGGGATAAAGAAAATCGTTCGTCAGACGGAGGACTTCGTTATATAGAGGTTCGTTATATTAAGGTTCTACTGTACTTCCATGCAAAATACATTCACACTTCAAGTGAAGTAGGGTAATGAAATAAGGCGGAGTGGCGAAGGTTTCGTTTTTTTCATCGCATTCGCTACGTTGCACAAAGAGCCTCTACTTTTTTTGACCAGTAGCAGCCTCTCAGTTCTTCCGCGAGGTGCGAGAAGATCAGGACAAAACGTAACCTGCGACCAGGGGATCTTTCTTTCCTTTTGTTTTGGAGGCGAGGGGAAAAGACTTTCCCGAAAAAAAAAACGCTTGATCGCAGGTTAACAAAACGAGGAATTTTTCTGTTTATATAGTTTACCTTGTTTACTGATTACACGTGTGCGTTTCGATAAAGTAATGACTTTTTCAATCACGCTGAGGTTGGTAGGTAATTAGAGATACACCATTGTTTTCGCAAAACAATCATGGATACCATTTTCACGATCACTAACGAATTAACTCTACGTTGTTTTTAATCCGTTGCTGTTTGTCTTGTTTATTAGACCTGGTGGTTTCCCCCATATCGCCTACTTACTGAGGCAGAACTACAACAGTGGAGAATAGTCACATTTGATGAAGAGTGAAAAGGGGACCTCTGCTCACCACACCAAAAGCACGAAGAGACCTGGACACTAATTGAGCCATTACCACCTGTGCGACAATCATTTAGGTATTCCCGTATTTAAAATATCCCTTTGATATCCCTCTAATTTTAGTATCCCCGCAATTTGGGTATCCCCCTAATTTAAGCATCCTCGTATTGCGGATACCCCGTAATATCCCCGTATTTTGGTGTCACCCTAATCTAAGTATCTCGCACTTTGGTTGTTTCCCTAATTTAAGTATCCTAGTATAGTTTTGAACCCCGCGTTTAAGTCCCTAGTGATGTGGGTGAAAACACTGATCCTACCTTGGTCGTTTTACAACCACTGAAACCGGCTTTACAACTTGATTTCTTTATAATGTTCTTGTTACTTCAGTGCTTTGCGACGTCCTTAAAAATAGTGGAATTGAATTGTAGTTTTTATTTCACAACGGTCAACCACCAGCTCACTAATAGGTCTTCAAGACAAAGTTAGACTGGAAGCCGTGGTTTAAAAGGAACTAGCAACTGCGATTGCCGGTGATCACATAGAGACATAAACCACCAGCCCTCAAAACTTTCCTCTTTTACATGCAACATTTTACGTGTGCATGCAGTGTCTTTTGGTGTGCAAAGTAATCACATGAAGGCAACCTTTAAACAATCACACGAGGCCATTTTATTTGCCGCAATTCCTGTCTGAGGTACAAAATACTGTGAGTAGCTTGAGTGGCAGGCATGATCGGGGGGGGGGGGGGGGGGGGCTTTTCGTTTGAAAGGATCCCGCTTGTTCCCCGGGGTACGCTGCCAAAGATGGGGCCTTCGAAACATCGACCAAAACCCCAAGGGATGTTGGTATCTCGGGGGGGGCATAGGGGATACTCCACACTCTGACCTGAAATAATGGAAAAACCACATCACGAGGGATTTGTATACGGAGTTATCCAAAACACAGGGATACCCAAAATTACGTTGGAGTAGATCAAGGTATTTTTGTAGTTCTTAGCGCATACACTGCATGCGATGCGTAACTATCGTGGGGAAAAGCACGAGTCCATCAACCTCAAGAGTCCATCACTCATGTGAGGCCTGGATCACGGCGTGTTAGATGTTCAGGTTTTTTCCATCCAATGAGAGCAGAGTAGAATTTCCAGCAATGGCGTTTGAGATCAACGAATTTTCAGCCGAAGAGGATTTACTGTGTTCATTTGTTTAAATAAACGTTTAAGTAAGGACCAATAAGGCTTCGACATCGACTCCCGTCCTAGATCTTGCAATCGGTTTTGAACAAAGTGAATTCCGAGGAAAAGAAATCTAAAAATAAGCGAAACGCCCAAGTAACGCGCTCTGGCGTTTTCTGAATACCAGCCAGTCGGGGATGGGGGAGGGGGGGGCTCCCATAAAATAGGGACGGGAATGCTCGTCGGAAATTAGCATGAAAACCCTAAAGGAGACTATGTGGTGGTGTTTGGCTTTTTTATTTAGATTTTTCTTTACGCACAGCCCTAAGTGAATGAACACATCTTGCCCTAACTGATACCTGTATTGGAAAAATATTGCCTTGTTGTCCTGGTCACCTTAAGTGAGATCATAATGCACAATTCCTATCCCTAAGCGAAACGAGGAGCATACCCGTCACTTTTATGTGGGGTTCCCTCCCCACCCTCCCACCCCCCGCCCCCCTCCTCCCGGTGACGCTGCAAAAGAAATGGGCTCCTGGTTTGTAACTCAACTTAGAAGTGCTTAGATTTATTTTCTTATAAAACTTTCTACACTGAAAACGTGCTCAACTGGACTCAAGAAAAGTTAACTTTGCTGTTTCCGATATTATGGTTGAAAACTCAATGATGCATAGTTTTTCGGTTCCTGCTAGCTTTGCCCAGAAGTGTTTGCAGCAAAAACCGACAATTTGATGGAAAACGTGCGGCGCGACGAATACGACGTCCCTAGGTACCCATAGTGAGGCTTATCCTTGGATTACCTGGTGCAGTTGACTGTTCATTGGCAGTGACTAATAACAGTCCAGTGTGACGTCTCCAGGGTACCCATAGTGAGTCTTACCCTTGTATTACCCAGTGGTGCAGTTGACTGTGCAGTCTGCAGTGACTGATAACAGTCCAGTTTGTTTGGTGATATTACTCCGTTCTTCCCTTTTGTAAGTCGTTTCACTTAGGCAAGATACAGGCTTCCAAGTGCAGAGCAGTTTTAACAGTTTCTACGAACATTTTTTAAAATTATTTGAAATCGCAAACAAATCGATATTGTACAAAATGATGAACATGAGCTTATGAGCACGGCCTTATGAACTGTTCATTAGCAGTGACTAATAACAGGTCAGTGTATTTGCTGATATTGCCTCGGTCGTACGTTTTGTTGATGTGTCTCGCTAGGACAGTATAACACTTTCAAGTGCAGAGTGGTTTTATGTGTAACAAACAGTTTCAAGAAAATGTGGATTCCATGAACAAGTAAGCAGATCAACATTGTACAAGACGATGAACTTGCGGTTTAAACTGTACATAATTTACGTATTCAAGTGATGCAGATGAGATTATATTTTTTCACCTGCAAGTTTATATTCGCAAAAATTAAAACTACGGTAGCTTTCTGAATTCAGGTTCAGGAGTAAATTTGTTGCCTGTTCTGTTCATTAGCAGTGACTAATAACAGTCAAGTGCGTTTATTTTGTTATTAATGCTGATTTACTTAGCTGTGACAATATTTAGAATGCATCTAGACGCAGCGCATGTTTCTAAGTTTTATGAAATGAGCTGGTACACAAGTCAGCATTGTGAAACTGAATATGAACCTTAAACTATAAACTATTTACGTATATGCAGTGATGTATTTTTGCTAACATTGTTAGTTATTGTAGGTGATGCAGATAAGGTTTTTCGTATCTGCATTTTTAGATAGTCTTATTTTAAAATAATTAAGACCGCTATCTGGATTCAGAGCTGTGTTTGTAAATTTACCTGTGCTGTTTATTAGCAGTGACTAATAACAGTTCAGTGTGTTTAATCCGATTGTACAACATACGGTAATGAATTCATAATACTACCATGTACATTTATTCTATAAAATAGTCGCTATCTGGATTCAGATCTACGTTTTAAGTAAATTTTTTTGTATGAACTGTTCATTAGCAGTAACTAATAACGGTTCAGTGTGTTAAGTGATATGACTGTGATCATAGATTTTGTTCGTAAAAGTGATTCACTGAAGCAATATACACGCGTCCAAGTGAAGAGCAAGCTAGGGGGGGGGGGGGGGGGGGGGGGGGGGGGGGGGGGGGGGGGGGGCATTTCGCTTGCAAGGATCACGCTTGCTACCCAGGGTACGCTGCCAAAGATGGTGCCTTCGAAACATCGACCCAAATCCCAAGGGATGTTAGTATCTCGGTAGGGTACTAGGGGATACTCGCAACTCTGACCTGAAATAATGGAAAAACCCACATCACGAGGGATTTGTATACGGCGTAATCCAAAACACAGGGATACCCAAAATTACGTTGGAGTAGATCAACAGATTTTTGTAGTTCTTAGCGTACACACTGCATGCGATGCGTAACTATCATGGGTAAAACCAGGAGTCTATCAACCTCAAGAGTCCATCACTCATGTCAGGCCTGGGTCACCGCATGTTTGATGTTCAGGGTTTTTCATCCAATGAGAGCAGAGTAGAATTTCCAGCAATGGGGTATGAGGTCAACGAATTTTCAGCCGAAGAGGATTTACTGTGTTCTTTTGTTTGAAGAAACGTTTAAGTAAGAATCAATAAGGCTTCGACATCAGCTTCCGTCCTAGATCGTGCAATCGGTTTTGAACAAACTGAATTCCGAGGAAAAGAAATCGAAAAGTAAGCGAAACGTCTAAGTAACCATTCCTATCCCTAAGCGAAACGACGAGCATCCCCGTCACTTTTATGTGGGTGTCCTTCTCCCCGCCCCTCCCCACCCCGGTGACTCTGCAAAAGAAATGGGCTCCTGGTCTGTAACCCAACTTAACAGAAGTGCTTAGATTTATTTTCTTATAAAACTTTCTACACTGAAAACGTGCTCGACTGAACTCAAGAAAAGTTAACTTTGCTGTTTCCGATATTATGGTTGCAAACTCAATGATGCATAGTTTTTCGGCTCCTGCTAGCTGTGCCGTAAAGTGTTTGCAGCAACAACCGACAATTTGATGGAAAACGCGCGACACGACGAAAACGACGTCCCTAGGTACCCATAGTGAGTCTTACCCTTGTATCGCCTGGTGCAGTTGACTTTTCATTGGCAGTGACTAGTTTGTTTGGTGATATCACTCCGTTTTTCCCTTTTGTAAGTCGTTTCAGTTAGCCAAGATACCGGCTTCCAAGTGCAGAGCAGTTTTTTACATTTTATACAGAAATTCTAGTTACTTGAACTCGCAAACAAAGCGGTATTGTACAATATGACGAACATGAGCACAACCTTATGAACTGTTCATTAGCAATGACTAATAACAATTCAGTGTATTTGTTGATGTTTCTATGGTCGTACGTTTTGTTGATGTGTCTCGCGAGGACAGTATACACGCTGTCTAGTACAGAGTGATTTTATCTGTAACCTTGTCAAGAAAATGTGGATTCCATGAACTAGCAAACAAATCAACGATGTACAATACGATGAACTTGCGTTTTAAACTGTACATAATTTACGTATATACGGTGACTAATTCATAATGTTAGATTTTAAATAATGTGGTTTTTTTTTCAAGTAATGCAGATAAGATTATATTTTCTACCTGCAAGTTTAGATTCGTAAGAATGTAAAAGTACGGTTGCTTTCTAAATTCAGATTCAGGCTCAGAGTAAATTTGTTGCCGGTTCTGTTCATTAGCAGTGATTAATAACAGACCAGTACGTTTATTTTGATATTAATGCTGATTTACTTAGCTGTGGCAATATTTAGAATGCATCTAGATGCAGCGCAAGTTTCTCAGTTTTAAGAAATGAGCTGCCCCACAAATCAGCATTGTA